TATATATATATATATATATATATATATATATATATATATATATATATATATATATATTAATTTAGTTGTGCAAAGTTTTTTGGAATTTAATTTTTTTAATTTAGTCTTTATTATTAAGAAATATTAATTTTGAATTTTCCGTAAATTTGGAAATTAAAAAGAAATGGGTTGTAGTTGTTTTATTATTTTTTATTTTTGCACAATTGGTTAAAGTTGAACTTTGGTTTTCCAAATTTGAGAAACCAAATTTACAATTTGTTAAAATTTGCATTTTTCCATCATGTTGTTGGAGTTCTGTTTTTTACCTCAAAATGTGTAAAAAATGCAAATAATAGATTTGCATTTAACTGTTGGAGTTGCCCTTAGACATCACTACATATTCAAATATATTTTTTTAATACATAATTTAACATTTTATTATTATATTTCGTATATTTGATGATATAATTAAAAAAACTTTTATTTAAAATAATAGTAATTTAAATTTCAATTAAATAATTATATTTGAAGTGTTATATTTCAACGGTCATTTTAAGTGTTAATTAAATAATTAAATACTGTGCTTTAGAGTTGGGAACTTGTGCAATTGTACCGTCATTTGATTTTCTAACAAAGTGATTTTGCGTCCTCTTGGTGTGTCAAATTTGACGAGCCTAATTTATAATATGCCATGTGGTCTATAATATAAAAGAGCTGTTGGAGCTCTAATTTTCAATAAAAGTTGTTAAGTTTGCTTGAATTTAGCATATAACACAATGGCTGGATATTTCAGATTCTAATTTCTTGAGTTTCTCTTCGGTTTCTTGCAACTTCATCTTCATATCTTCGTTTTCTCTCGTTGCTTTTAGAGCAACTTGATTACGAGTCACAATGTTCGATTTCAGTGACTCATTATATGCCTCTAGAGTCTGTATCTTATAGTTTTTTTGCTCCAGAAATCCTATAAATCCTCGCCCAATTTCCAGTCCCTTTTCACAAATTTCAGGCTCAGCCCATTGAAGAAAATTGCATCCGTTTGGTTTCTGGTCTCATGCAATGTAAAACATATAGTTTTTAGCTATAAATTCAAACTAAAAATAAAAATTTTGAAGTAAAGTACGAGCGAAGAAACTTACATCCAAATTGGTGCAACATGCAAATTTTCTTGCAGGATTCTTCGCCGTCCAAGTTGTTCCAATTGCAACGTCTCTATTGCATCGACACATTGTGCCAGCAAAACTTGAACAATAACTTCTTGACCCAACGCATGAACACGATTGTTGAGAATTTGAACTCCCGGGATTAAAGAATTAAAAATTACGAAAAATTAAAGAAATTTATGGAGGGAGCTACTTACTGGCTAGGGGACCTAGGGGGTGCCCTCGGATACTCCGCGGGATGATGTCGGCTCCTACTTCCGCCGCGGCTCCTTGGGGGACTCACATTGTAGTCCCGGTGTTGACTTTATTATGCACATTGCCATTTTAAGTGTACACAAATTGTCGAGGAAATCAATTTTCGTTTAATACAGGGGAAGAGTAAGGATATATATGGGGAAAAATCGATAATCAGATTTGCGTATTTGAATTTTGAATTTTGATTTTTGAATACATACTTGTATAAAATGGCATTACAATCTTGATGACACTATACCTCGAGTATCTTCGTGTAGGAGGAGGAGACAGAGAATCGTACGGAGGTGATTGAGAAGAATAATGTGAACGAGAAAGACCTCGGCTGCAAACCAAAAAAAAAAAACATATTTGCGTATTTGGATACATGCTTGCATAAAATGACATTGCAATCTTGATGACACTAAATATACCTCGAATATCTTCGTGTAGGAGGAGGAGACAGAGAATCGTACGGAGGTGATTGAGAAGAATAATGTGAACGAGAAAGACCTCGGCTGCAAACCAAAAAAAAAACATATTTGCGTATTAGGATACATGCTTGCATAAAATGACATTGCAATCTTGATGACACTAAATATACCTCGAATATCTTCGTGTAGGAGGAGGAGACTGAGAATTGCGCGGAGGTGATTGAGAAGAATAACGTGAACGAGACCGACCTCGGCTGCAAACAAAAAAATTTAATAAATTAATAATCAAAGGTAAAAAGAAAAGTCACAATGCTAGAGTTCTCTATCCGACGTACGAAATTAAATCATTCATTACACGATAGCACAAGATTATCATAATTCATTATCAACTCAAACCTTATACATTCGATTATCTTATTATTATTCGTAAAGCTAATGTTCATTAACATCGATCGAGGAGAAAAATTACCTCCCTTCGATGGCGTAAACACTTAGTCCATCCGTGGAGGTAGTAGTAGAGGCAATTTTTATGGGAAAATTGCAATTAAGTCCCTAATTTATTTATTTTTTTAAATTTAGCATGAACTGCAACATGTCCTTTATTTTATGTTATTTCAATTTTATTTTTACTCGAAGGTATATTTGTCCTTTCACATTCAGTAAACCTTTAAAATCACAGTGGGCTGAGTGTGCTATTAAAAAAAAAATTACAGGGGGCTTGTTTTCGCTATTTCAAGATAAAAAAGAATATTTTTTACAGTTTACTCATATATATATATATATATATATATATATATATATAGAGAGAGAGAGAGAGAGAGAGAGAGAGAGAGAGAGAGAGAGAGAGAGAGAGAGAGAGAGAGAGAGAGAGAGAAAACTTGCGTGTAATCAAGACGAAGGTTGCGAACAAGAAGGATAATTGGAGAATCTCCTCTGCTGCCGTAACTTCTTGGTGGTGAAGAGCTGTAACTCCTTTCACTCATTTTTGCAAACTGTTTAAATCCTACACCACAATATTCAAATCTACATAATTACCGATCTATACATATATAATACGATAATGCAGAAAAAAAAAACAATTACAGAGAAAGAGAAGACAACGTTTGCTATCAAATTCATTTGTAGATTGGAAAGAAACAAACCAACCAAGACTTCTACGGGTAAATTGCAGCCAGCCCTGAAATAAAGTTAGATTATGAATTTTGAAAATTTAGTGAAATCTCGTGGATTATATGGAATATCTCTAGTTTGTACCGGTTTTATCTCATTCGAGTTCCACGTTTTGAAACAAGATGGTCATAAAATATGTCTATTGCTTGTAAATACTGGATTGTGGTGCATCAGAAACTGCATTTTCGCACAAAACGAGTACAAACTAGAGAATATTCCACATAATGTATAAGATTATGTTAAATTTGACACCATAAGGATGTACGTGTAAGAAGATTCATAGTTGATGGATGATCGTAATTATCCAAGCAAAGCGGATTTTCTCGTAATTTAACCTTACCTCAAGGAGATGGCCGTCGTTTACCCAAATTTCTATGTTTATTTAAAAAAAGGAAAAAAAAATTCAAGTTCAATAGTACAAAAGAATGAAGAAAGAACACCGTTTACCCGAAACCAAAAATGTTCTGACCGACTTGTTAGGGAGAATGCAAAAAGAGAAGTATGTGAAGGAGATTTGGTTTAAACTGTGGAGTTATACAAGAATATGATTTTGGGACCGAATTTAAAGAAGAAGAAAAAAAATATCTTCTTTTTCATTTTATTTTATTGTTTTTTTTTTTTTTTTTTTTTTGATATTTTTCAAACTTTTTGGAGTTTGATAGCTCTATACAAATTAAAGTATGAAACCGCGTGGAGTCCATTGTATATGTTGGAAAATAAGTAGTAATAATACCAAATCAAAAATTCCGATAATTGAATATTGTCCCGTTTGGCTAAGCTTATTTAAAACAACTTATAAGCTTCTATAACTGACACGAATACGGAACAAAATACTCTACAGCATATGTAGTAGTAGATCAATGATCAAAAGTTGTCTCGTTTGACTAAGCTTGTTTAAAACATGTAGTAAATTAACTGATCAGATGTTTTAGAAGCTGATAAAATAGTACATGACATCATTATAATTATTGTCTGTCGAGGTCCCCCGCGAGATAGCATAAACTCTATATTCGTGTGGTGTTGTCCGATTTGGACTGAGTTCAATTGGTTTTGCTCTTAGGTTCCCCAAAATGTCGCATACAAATATTTTTGTTATTCCCTCATAATATTTTTGTTATTCCCTCCTTATAAAGTAGCGATCTTTCACATAATAAACCGATGTGCAACTATATTTGTACCTCAATATTATCAAACTTGTTTTACTCTGATATTTTTTTTTCTTAAAATATTATTATAATGTTTACAAATTACTTTAGTATCAAATAAAACAATAATATTAAATTATATATTAAATAAACTAAAAATAATTTTTTTTATGTTTGATATGATATTTGAATATGTTTTTTTAAAATAAAATTAAGTGCAATAAAATATTTTAAAGCAATAGGTTTGTGAATGTTTCAATTTTTCCCCATTAATATAAGAAAAATTTCTTGTTTTGTAAATAAATATAATTTATAAATCCAGACAATAAGAATATTATGATCAAATAGAGAATAATTATTATGATAATTTTTATAATTAAAATTGAAATAATTATTAATATTAATCTTAATTACAAGAATACGACATAAAAAAATCTCCTCTGCCATAACTTCTTGGTGGTGAAGGGCTGTAAGTATGTATGTAGGGTTTTTTGCAAAAACCACCCCTGTGTAATCTCTAATTGCTGAAAAACCCCTCGTGTTAAAACAATTAGCAAATACCCCCCTATGAAAATTAGTCAAAGTCAATAAGGTCCCTGCAAGCTGACCGTGCGTTGCACTCGCCATGAATGCGACTGGGATTTCTTTTCTTGACCAGAAAATACCTAAATACGGCATAATTTATATAAGCACTAAAATGATTTTTTTTTTAATTTTCAATTGAGTCCTCCATATTTTCAATAAGCCCTCTTCAACCTCAAGAACATCCACTTCTTTACCATGATTGTTTTCAACAAAAACCATCAACCAAACCCAACTCTGAGCATCAAGTTCATTTCTATTCCAAATCAAGTAGAACAAAAGGGAAGAAAAATGGATCCTCAAGCTTTTTCGGCACAACCCAGAAAAATACAAAAACATTTAGAGCATTTTCTTCCAATTTCTGAAACTTAAATCGTATCTGAGAAATAAGAAGAATGTCAAACTCGAAGAATCCTTTCCAGCCACTGCACAGTTACTCCGCCAAACTCGAATCCGACTCTCCGGATCCACCACCACTACTGCCGCGCCGCCTTTGAGTGCCACCACCGCTTTTGTAACTTCTGAATCCACAATTTCCGTCCATCGAAATTGTCGTCCTTACACTTTTTTCTTCCAATCTACAAAAAAGAAAAAAACATCTCCTCCCACCATTGACAGCCAACCATTCTTCACGGGACTCCTTTTTCTAGTGAGTCAGAGACGTCCCAGTGAAGGGGGAGAGAAGATGCCAAGATGGTTTGGGCCCATTTTGGTGATATTATTTATTTATTTAGATTAATTTGTTTTTTTTACATTTTATTTGTTTAAAACTGAAATATTATTAAATACTTATTAGGGGTAGTTTCGTCATTTTCATATAAGCCAACCATCAAATTTGAAGTAAGGGGCGGTGTGCTTCGTAAAACACAATATAGGGGGACCTTGCTAATATTTTTAACATGAGGACTTTTTCGGCAATTTGAAATTACACAGGGGGTTTTGTGCAATTAACTCTATGTATGTATGTATGTATGAATACGAATTACAATATTCTACGAGCTCCTTAAATTTGTTTTGTTTCATTAGGCTAGTCTTTTGTTGACTTTTGTTAACTATCACACGTCATGATGACGTGTAATCCACGTCATGACATTTGTTGACTTTTGTTAACTATCCCACGTCATGATGAGGTGTAATCCACGTCATGACTTTTGTTGACTTTTGTTAACTTTCATTGGGGTTTTATCTATCCTACACCCGGTAAAGGTTACACCGGGTGATTTTTTACCGTTGATCTACACATACCAATGTGGGTGTGTGTGTGTGTTTGTGTGTATATGAATGGTAAAGATCTACCCGGTGTAAGATCTCAAAAGCCGAAAATAAGCTAAAGGGATTCTAATGCAATGACATTTTTGCCCTTAAACGATGCAATATATAAAAGGGTATCACTATAACAAATCTCAACTTTTGCTTACTTGAATACCAAAAAAATAAAAAATAAATAATTAATAGTAGATTACTTTAATACCCTTAATGAAAATCAAAACCAAAAAATATTACAAATATTATTTTTCTTTCTTAAATACCAAATAATCAAAAACCTCAAAACTCATTTCCCTCCTCACTCACAAACCCCTCCCCTCATCCACCTCCTTCTTCTCCCTCCCCCCAAAAACCCTTCTAAAAAACCTCAAAACTAAAGAAATCAAAACCTTACACAACTTGCAAAATGGCGTCAAACGACAATAGAATGGTAGTTTACGAGCAAGGAGAACCCATTAAGGTATGTATTCATGTATTTTTTGAGCTAAAACATCGATTTTGATTCTTTTTTTTTTTAATCCGCCATCAACTTTCGACACATACAGGTCGAAAATGTGCTTATTTTTCGACATGTATGTGTCGAAAAACATAATAATTGATATTATACACATTTTCGACACTTAAGTGTCGAAAATAGCAGTACAATTCGACAGGTAACCGTCGAATTTGTCTATAATTTTCGACACTTAAGTGTCGAATTGGTCCCATATTTTCGACACTTAACTGTCGAATATGTCCCATGTTTTCGACACCTAAGTGTCGAAATTAGGGGACAAATTCGACAGTTAGGTGTCGAAGTTTTCCCTGTTGCAAATTTACGTCTAATATTTTCTCCACTTTTGTGTAGATCGATTGCACCTAGGGGTGGAGATCGGACGGATCGGATCGGAATACACCCCTTCGGAAAATTTCCGATTTTTTTCGGAAGTGAAAAATCACTTCCGATTCCGATTTCGAAAATTTCGGAATGCAAAAGGTCGTTCGGATTCCGATTCCGAAAAAAAAAATCGGAATTTCGAAATTTTCGGAAACATCGTTGATTATGCCCGGCGACTGAAGCACGGAAGAAAAGCAACGGCCACGGCGGAGATTTATAGAGAATAACGACAGCTTTTGGCAGCAACTCCGGCGATCTTGAGAAAACGGACGGTGGTATTTTGCAGCAATTCCAGCCTCTGTTTCGCGAAGAAAAGATATGGAAGTTAGGTGTTATGACTCATATGGTAGAGAAGAAGAGTCGGCGGTCGAAAGAAAAAAAAAAGTTCAGAGAAGGGAGCTGTTAGCGGCGCAAGAAGAAGAAAAGAAAAGTTCAAAGGGGGGAGATGTGAGCGGCGCAAGAAGAAGAGGAATAAATTAGGGTTTTATTATAAGTTTGTGGTATTTACTGTTTAGTCCCTAAAATTCTGAATATTCAATATTTGGACTGATCCATTTAGGGCTGTGCGTTGGTTGGTTTGGTTAAAAACCGGGTATAAAACCAACCCAACCCATCCAACCAATTTTGGCAAATATTGGAAACCGTTATCGACCCAACTTACATGGGTTGGGTGATGGTTGAAAACCAATTTAATGGGTTGGTTGGTGGTTTGGTTGATGGTTCATCCATCTAAATATTTTTTAATTTTTTTTTAATATTTTATTACTTGTTACAACGTTATATTTTTTATAAATTAAATGCGACTAGTTCAATAATATTCAAATAAAAGATTCAAAACATTACGGGCATATATATTGCAATTAAACATAAATAGTTCAACAAATAATAATCGTCCAAATATTTAGACTGTATATCTTAAAATTAAAATAGTTAAAATTAGATAATTAGGTTAGATTTATTGCTTTTAGGATTTTGGTCAATATTAAACAATTTAATAAATGTGATATAAAATAGAAATTTGAAATTAAAATTATTAAATATTTTAATTAAAATTAATAAATAATAAATTAATGAATAAAGTTGGTTGGCCGATATTAACCGACTAACCAACTTTTTAGCATATTAGAAACCATTATCGACCCAACTATACATGGGTTGGTTGACATTATCGACCCAACTTAAATGGGTCAGTTGATGGTTGATTAACCATCACAAATTGTGGGTCGAAAATGGGTTGGTTGATGGTTAAAACCGATCCATGCACAGCCCTAGATCCATTTGCTAAAGTGGGCTGCCTTGCTAAAGTGGGTTTTTCAAAGCCTAACTAGAAACAATATAGTAAATTAGTAATGAAGAAATATTAATAAATTTTGGAAAATTTCGGTCGGAAATATTATCGGAAATTTCGGAATTATTTTCGGATCGGAATTCGGAAATTCCGAATAATTCATATAAAATTCCGATTCCGATCCGATTTTTTCGGAAAAAATCGGAAATCGGAATTTCGGAATTCATACTACAAAAATTCGTTCCAAAATCGGAAAAAATCGGATCGGATTCGGCGGAAATCGGAAATTTCGTTCCGATTTCCACCCCTAATTGCACCCATTCATTTACCACGTCAGAAAAATTCCCAACAAAAGAAGCTTTAGTGACATGGGTTCGTGAAGTATGTAAAATAATTGGAATTGTGTTAATGATTGCGGGTTCGAGCGACGGGGATAGAGGACGTAGGACACCGTATTTTTTTTTGATAAATTGCAATTTTTTTTTTTGTGAAATTAACTCCAAATATATTGCAATGTAACATAAAAACATATTCTAAGTGTTTTTGGACAAAAAATATATTGCAATGTAACATAAAAACATATTCTAGCTGTCGAATTTGAAACAGTCGGAGGTATACGAGGTTCACGTGGTTCTTCCACTGCAAAATAACACACAAATAAAAATAAGGGGAAAGTACAGTTTGCACCCCTGAACTATAGGGCTTGTCTCAAACACCCCCTTGAACTACAAAACGTAACGAAATAGCCCCTGATATTTTGGGTCAACGTTAAAAAGAATGACACCGTTAAGTTTTGAGTCATTTATGATTTTTTGTTCAGCAAATTAAGTCATTTACCTTTGTGCCCCTCAAAACCCCTCTAAGGAAAACCATCTTTCACTCCCATCACCCAATCTTAACTTCAGAACTTCTTCTCCCTCTCTCCTAAAAAACAAATCTTTATAATCTAGTCTCTAAAAATCAGAAGAGCAAAACCACTACACTTCATGGGTTCACAAAATTCAAGGATTTGGGACAAACCTCAATTAATTGGCCAAAAGAACAGAAATTATCCCTCAATTAATTCAAGGATTTGAGGCTGTTGGTGTCTCGTTCTCCATCCATATGTCCGATTACACACCATCGTCGGCCACTGCCGTAGCAGCCAAAACTCCGTCGCACGCGCCGACTGTTCAATCACATCGTAACTCCGCATCCCCATCTTCAACTGCCAAATCGACTACACACTCGTCGAGCATGGAATCACTGTCTTCACCCAATGAAGTTCCTACACCAGTCCTCTCTCTCCTCATTCACCATTGCCTAAGATTAATTGTGAATCTTCTCCTTCTTTCTGCAAAATCTCTTTCTAATTTTTCCTACTTCGACTTTGAGATGCATCTGTTCAATTGTACTGCTAGCGAAATTAGCCCAATAATTTTCACAAGTTTTTGTTTTTGATTTTTTTTTTTTTTTTGAATTTGGGCGAAAATTAGAATTCAATCGATTTTTCATTGTTAATGGTTTTATTTAGTTTTTAAAGTTAAAATGGAAATGTATAGATAGATATATACATACATACAAGCACATGATACCAAGGGGTAAAATAGTAAAAAGAAATTCAACAACAATAAAAGTTATTAAAAAAGTGAAAGTCAACAGGCCCATCAGCATATACAAACGGATTTGAAACGGAAGGGTTGATTTGTTACATTTTGTAGTTTAGGGGGGTGTTTGTGACATGACCCATAGTTCAGGGGTGCAAACTGTACTTTCCCCTAAAAATAAATATACATAATATAAACACAAGCAAATAAAAATAGAAAAGAAAAAAAATTAATAAAAAAAAAATTAAAAAATATTAAACAGTAAGAATTCGACAGAACACTGTCGAAAATTGGTAGAAAAATCGACAGCTAGCTGTCGAATTTTCGATAGATTTTCGACAGTGTTCTGTCGATTATCAAACATTAAGTACAAAAATTTCACAAAAATCGACAACTATATGTCGATTTTTGCATAATTTTCGACATCAATCTGTCGAAAATTTTGCAAAAATCGACTTATACAGGTCGATTTTCGTGAACGAAGAACCACCCACGAATCTCAAATCAATGCTCAAATCGACTGAAATTAGATGCACCCATTACTAATTAACGATCATTCCTACCTAAAACAATCAAATCCTAATTACCCATATCAAACAATCAAATCCTAAATAAATATTAAAGAAAAAAAAAATCGAAAACAAATATTACTTGTATAACAAAGGCGGCGGCGGCGAGGGTTGCAGCGGCGGTGAACGACGGTGGAGAGAAGGAGCAGCGGTGGAGGAAATTTGAAAGAAGGGTTTTTTTTTATATATATTTGGTTTTAAAATAGGTAATTTCAAAAAAAAATTGATATAATTGATATTTTGTATGAAATGGTGTTTTTGTACTTTTCTTTTTATTTTGGTATTAAAGTAAGAAAAAACTTATAAATATGTACTCAATTGTGGTTTTAAACTTGGTAGTATTCAAGTAAGTAAAAGTTGGGATTTGTTATAGTGACCCCCATATATAAAATCTGTTTCATAAAAATTCCAAGTTCCAACCCCTACAAAAGATTAGGTTTTAATGTAAGAAATCTGCAAATTGTAGGGTGTTTATGTAATTATAAAAAAATGAGGGGGGTTTTTGTAGATTGTTTTTTTTACTTTAGGGCAAGTGTTGTGGGGTAAATTTTGACGGTGATGCTTTATTTTCGTTGTGGTACTCGTTTATACACATTGTCCGTTTTATGCGCGTGCTGATTGAACGAATTCAACCGATAGTTGACTTCTTTTCTGGACATATACAACAACGGACACAATCGGAACTCAATCGGTTAATACAACTTTAACAGCTCGAACCTCAAATCGAAAATTACGAAACAATTCAACTTTGTCTACTCAACCACAGACTACCAACAATTTAATAATATTCCAATTTAGTCTTAAGAAACATCATACATCAAGAGTTAACACCATGCAATTAAAACCAAATACACGGTTCAGACATTAAAAAAAAAAAGTACTACGGTTCAAACATTTAAAAAAAGGTACCCTCGAAATTCAAACATACAGTAAAAGTTCAAATCGAGAACAACGAAATACACAAAAGCAGCAAAATGACGAATTCTAGAGCTGCTGCTCACTGGCTAGGTGACCTATCCCTCCTAGGTGGGCCCCTAGCGTATTCTGCAGGATGATGTGGAGGGCTCCTACTTCTGCTTCTGCTTATGCTCCTAGCCCTAACTGGCGAACGGGCCCTCACTGGGCCGGGTCCAACTGGGCCCGGGCTTTGGCTGCGGCTTCTAGAACCATACGGCGACCGTTCAACTCTTACTGGACTGCCGCTGTGGTGCTTGTGTTCGCGTGCCGGAGGAGAGCGTGAATACGACCTCTCCCTACTGTACCTTTTCTCATTGGGCGAAATAGACCTGCACATAATTATAATATTTGAGTATCGATACATACAATTTTGACCGTCGGCCGGGATTTTTTTAAAGAACTCATTCATTTGAGAAAGAACGAGATGTACTGACAGAACGACAAAAGAACGAGACCGCACCTCGAATATCTTCTCTTAGGAGGAGAGTAGTAATTGCGGCCGCGTGATTGAGAATTGCGCGGAGGTGATCGAGAATAACGCGACGGAGATCGCCTTCGATCATAAGATCCACCACGGCTGCCAAAAAAAAGAAAGTCTTCACGTGAGTTTTCCCTCCAAAATATACGAAAATTCAATAATTTAATCAAACAGAAATTACCTTCCTCCACCACGTTCTCTGGCTCTCATTTCAGTCGGTTTCTTCCGATTCTCCTCGGCAAAAACAACAGTGAGCTCCCGACCATGCAGAAGCTGACCATCCATTTGATATTTAGCTTCTGCAGCATCTGCCGGATCCACATACTGGACAAACCCAAAGCCTCGTGCATCACTGCAGAACAATTAAATTCGAAATGCAATAAAAAGGATAGTCATTAACATGGATTTCAAACGAAATGATACCAGCCAATTAGAAATTAGCCCAAAGAACTAAAATATCTATATAAAATTCCCAGCCAGAACCTACAAAAAATTTGCAATCGATTCTTTCACCTGAAAATGCTGAGTCCTAGAGGAAGCTCAAGAATATAAGAGTCAGCTTAAATACGGGAAAGAAAAAACGAGAAGCAGCGAGTCTATACCACCTTTAAGGAATCTAAAATTTTCCAAAACCCCTAAATCAAATTTATAGCTCAAAAAAATTCAGAGAAATAGAAGGCCGAGATAAGCGCATAAACAAGCACTTGGCAGCTGACCTTGTGAGTGATAATTAAGATGACTTGAATATCTTCAAGACTTGAAATCTCGATATCTTCACATTTTTCAAACCAGATTCCTTCAAATCTCCACTATCATTTACATCACCTTCAACTCTTTATTACTTGATTTGTCGTGTCACGAGGACTCTTTACTAATAGAATGTGTCAAATAGAACTCTTATTACTCGATTGAAGTCTTCACAACTCTTACTTCACTGCTAAATCTCAAACATCTTAATAACAAAAACCCATTTCAAGAAGATAAAAAAAATAAAATAAAAAAATATACAAGTAGCAAAGCCAACAACAGACAGCAAACGTAAGCTAAGTGATACAAATATCGATGCAACTTGAAAAGAGCAGAGATATAAATGGAACTACAGACAAAGGACAACGTTATATAAAAGCTCACCCAGTGTAGTAATCCCTTGGCAGATAGACATCCTTTACAGGGCCAAACTGGCCGAAAGGCCTCTTCAGATCTTCAGGCCTGTTTAAGGCAAATCGAACTGTTAGAAGCACAACTCTTTTTCATTCATGAATCAAACATGCAGTTCGGTAAAATATAATCACATTTTCTTTGCATCCGCTTTACCATATTGAGTTGTCGTATTAAAAATTTTGGAATGCCCACAAACTTCTGTATTAGTCGAAATATAAAAAACTTATTTTTGAAACATAAGTTTTCACAAAAATTAAAGTGACTTCACTAATTATCACCTACTTGCTCTCTAAAATCTGTAGTGATACATAAAGATAACAATTCAAACATCTAAAAATCAGAATGACCAAGATATCCGTATATGAAGGATGAAAAAAAAATTGCCTGCAATCGAGACGGAGGTTGCGGACTAGAAGACTAGTCGGAGCATCTGCTCTGCCATACCGTCCGCCCCTTGGGCCAGGGCTTCTACCTCCCCTTCTTCCGTAACCTCTTGGTGGTGATGGGGTGTAACTCCTTCCCCTCATTTAGACAGTGTTTTTAAATCCTACAGGCATTCAAATATTGATAATTACTAATGCACGAAATATATTAAAGGAAAGAAAGGAACAATGGGAGCAATCAATTTTATATTTTCCGAGGGGATGACAAATCAAACAAAACTTCAACCAATTAAAAACGAATCAAGTTCAATATGCAAAAGAATAAACAAAGATAACCATAATTACATTCTAGAAGATCAGCTAGAGCTAATACATGATAACTAGCCATCATTTCGGCAATCACTGTATTTTGTCCTCATCATTTCAACGACATTGAAATTTAGGGAAGCATTTATGTTTGTGATAATTGTGTCCATATCAATTGAACCCACAATACAATTCAACCTCACTAAGACTGTAGACGAAACGAATCGACACACTTGCAATTAAACGAACAAAATTAGTCGAAACCGAAAAACGAAAAAAAACAAACACCTTTGTGGGAAACAGATAGAATGATCAGCTAGAGCTAATACATGATAACTAGCCATCATATCAGCTTAATCAAAGAGTTAATAATCATCATCTCTTTCATCAATACCCACATTTCATCAAGTAAACAATTAATTAAATCATCAAGTAAACAATTAATTAAATCACTCGAGAAAAGGTAAAGTTTTCAAGAATCAAGCAGCCCAATTAAAAATTCAATCTTTCTTTTAACAATTGAATCATATCAGAAATGCCCAATACTCAATGTGAAAGAAAACCCTAAAAGTGGGAAATTGCAGGTTTTCAAATAAGGGTTTCCAACAAAAAAATGAGAAATCGAACAGTAAAACAAACGCGGATCTAAGAGAATAATAACCGATGAAAACCCTAATTGAATCATATGCCAATTTACGAATGAAATTGATGAAGAATATGAGGCGAGAACCGTACCCGAAACGAAAAATATTCTGACTTGTTAGCGAGAATGTAGAAAGAGACGGCGGAGAACTATGTGAAGTTGTTTAGGGTTAAACTGTAATATATATGCAGTGATTT